AATTATTTCTCTACTTCAATAAGAAGATAAAATAAAAATTATCTTTTAGCTAGATATGGATAAACCTACATTTTAGATATTAATAACTGACATTTTAGGTATTAATTTTTCTGTTCAACATTACTGTAACCTAAAAACAAAAACAAAATCTTTATTGTAATTTAACTTTATTGTAATTTAAAGCAGTGACATTTCCACGGACTACTTTTTCTAAAATCTAAACATGTTTAGAGAATATATTAGAAAGACCTTTTCACACAAATAAGAGCTGAAGGAGTTTCAAATAATATACCTCCTACAGGAAAATAGAAAAACTCCAGAACTTCTATAAGATGAAAGAAAGAGATAAGTATATGGAAATTCAATGTTTAAAATCTTTGACAACCATCATAATTCTGTGGTAAAATAAGTATAAAATATTAGTCTTCTTTTGAAAAGCTGTAAGAATAAAGGAATTATATTTCTTTTTCCAAATACAATAAAGGATAAAGTAATAGAAAGTGGAAAAGAATTAAGGAACAAATTGGTAGAAGTGACATTTAACAGAAGCCAAGAGAGAAGTTGATCTTTGGAATTAGTTGGGAGAGCACTAATAATTAGAATCAACATGAGGAACAACCTTCAATAAGTCAATCATCCAGTCAGTAAATGAGTCATATAGACGCCCAACCAGTATGAAAGAATAATACAATGGACGCAAAATAAGTTCTCCCAACCAGTATGAAAGAATAATACAATGGATGCAAAATAAGTTCTCCTATCTAACTCAAAATTATGTTTGCATTAAATATCAATTTCTTTTTTTAGAAGTTTAGAACTACGTGTACTTGTACACCTTCAATATATGTGTTTGAAAACAAATAATCACATTTTTCAACTTCAAAGAATATGCATTTAAAATTGCATGTGTGTAGATGGGAGTACAAGTTAGTATAAAAGAGAGGGTAAAGTACATTAAGGGGTAGAGGAGAAGTATTTCTAATTCATTTTTTAGAAAATCTTTTCAAATGTAATAATGGAGTAGAGAACATATAGGTAACTTGTTACTTTTATGATAACTTAGCATTAACTTTTCCATGGACATCTGTAATTGTGTCTGTAAATCACAGGGATTTGAAAATAGCAATATTTGAGATGAAGCATTCTTGATTTTTTTCCCCCCAGGGAAAACAGTCATTGATTTTTAAAGAAATAGAATCCACTAAAAGTAAAACATTTATTTATCATACAAAAATATATCAAATGGATAAAGATTTAGAAGAAAAAATAAAAGAAAAGGAAAATATTGTTAAAAAAATTGACATTTTAAAGTAAGTATTTGAAAGTTTTATGAAATATTAAAGTTTAATATTACAACAGATAAGACCAAACTTATAGGTCTAAAATTTGTTCTTAAAGTGATCAATATTTTCTATAATAATTTGGTTTGGAATATACATGTGATGTTTGATAATTTTGGTTTAAAATCTTGCTATGTTCTTTATTGCGCCCTTGAATTTATTCTAAATTGAATAACTGGAAATATTTCTTTTTTCAAATACAATAACTTTATTCCTTATTAAAATAAATCATTTTTCCCACTAAATTCATTATTTCTCACTAGTTTGACGTGGCTATAACTTACAGTTTTCCACCCATTTTTTATAGTAATAGTTTTGAGGTAAGAATTTAAAAATTGATATTCTACAAAATGGCATGTGCTTTATTCGCATTTATTGTTTTCTAAAGTCCCCTCACTTGTTTGGGGGGCTACTAACATACCTAATACATGTTAGTTAAGACAGCGTAGCTATAGACTTTCACTTAGAATTTGTTTTTCTTCATTTACCTTGGTTACTACTCTCTGTTTTTCGATAGATTGAGAACAGGGTTTTGTGTACAATTGACCACTTTTAGGAATAATTTAATTTAAATATAGATAGCTGATATAAGATAGGGAGATTCATCATATTTGAGAAATAAAGTGTCAGAAAAATAATTATGCACAGCCCGATACCATATACCTTAGTGGAAAAAAGTCAATGAACTCAACAAGAATTTGTTTAGCTGTTACCTTAGGGCAAAAACTTATTTGCAAAAATATTATATAGCTTTATCTACAAATGACTAAATCATGTTGAGTATGTCACATCAGAAAGCAAAAAAAAAAAAAAAGACATGTTGTTTCCTTTGAAAGATATTTACTCAAATTGTTAAGTATCTAAGAATATTTTGGGATTCACAGATATAACCTTAAAATTATATTATTTACATTAAACAAAATATTTAATTTAGGACTTGATTTTTTTTTCTTCTACAGAGTTTTTACCATTTCAATAGTAATAGTAGGTTATATTGCCTTTTAAATATTTGTTACCATGTACTAGTGAAACTTTGCTTTTCCCTCCAGTAACAGGAGAAAAGGCACTGTGATATTTACAACTCTTGTTACTTAGCAGTGATGCTGAACAATTTCAAGTGAAATTTAAGAGAAGCATTGATTGACTTCTTAAAGTGCCATTTACTTGTGGGCAATATGTTACCCCATTACATTCTATTCTTAAAGCAAAATCTTAAATTATGTAATAAACTTCCCATATGAATGCTGAGGAAACACACTGGAAAATCAAGCCGTTGTCTTAAGGGCATACAGTTAATTCGCGGCAAAGCTAGTTCCAGCTTAGGTCTATCATGCTCCGTAGTCTGTGCTCTTTCAGCTGTGCATATCAACTCTATAGATTAAGACTGGAAAGGAAAATAATTTCAAATAAGCCATATTAGTAATAATCTTCTGGTAATAATAGGAGCACTTATCAAATTAATAATTCTTTATTGGTAACTCATGGTATGGCTATTGCCAGGCACCAAGAAAGATAAATTGGTAAATGAGAAAGTATGCCTTCAAGTATCTGAAAATTATTTTAGAGAAACCAATCTTGCACATACAAAACAATTGAAATGTAAATAGATTAATAGCAATTTAAGCTACCCTGGACTCTTGTGTAATTTTCACAACTGTTTAACTGGGAAGTAAATGAATTCAAACCCAAACCTAAAGGACTTATGAATCGTTTTTTTTTCATCAATGTGAGAAAATAAACAGTATTTTCACGTGTAGCTGTACATACAGAGTGTATATTATACATATATAATTACTAAAATTATACATTGAACATACATTATACATGTATTATACTTTATAACATTCCCATTATTCACACTTAGTGGTTGGGAACCATCTGTATGGAATTAGATCCTGTTTTTCATCGTATTTGCCTCTCAATATAGATATATTCACTCTTGCATAATTAGCTATGAACTGATAACCTTATCAGAGTATATCCTTGGATTTGCATGCCTAGCCGAGGATTTCTTTCTATATGTCAACAAAATAAACTTACAGTCAACTAGCTAACTAAGAGAATCCACCAAATTTTTTTTTTTCACCTGGATGACTTGAAGTAATTCTGTAAGGTTGGGATTTAGAAGACCTAGGGAATATCCAAAACACTCCAGTTCCAAGATTTTTCCAATGTTGGGTCTTTTTAATATATCATAAAATATTAAGTGATTAATGGTGAATGCAATTATTTCTTCATAGAGACCAATTAGAAACGATCAGGTATAAAAAGGAACATGCTCAAGCTGTGTTTGAGCATCTCATGAATGAGAAAAAAGTCTGCAAAGAGAGAATATATGAAGAAGAACAGAAATTCCATCTACTCTTTACTATGAGGAAAAAAACTCTGGCAAATATTAAAGTGAGTATTATTTTTTAACTATTTGATATTGAAGGTAATAAAATAATAGAAGCTAGTTTGAGGTAGTTATGTTTAAAGTGAGTCTTTTAACATAATAAACATGTAACAAACCTTTTTTTCTTCTTAATTATATGCATATAGCTATGAATTCATATTTTAATGTACTTTATTTAGATGGTCATTTTGTCATTGTATGATTTTCATATCATTACTGATGTGAAATAGAGGTTATATTTGTTCTAGGGTCATTTTTTTATTTTAAATAGGAGATGTGAGAATAATTACATTTTGTTTCTAAGTAAACATTGAAAATTGACTAGTCAGTCTTGAAAAATGGAAATTGTTAATACTCCTTTCCTTTAAAAAAATTTGAATATTTCTTTTTTTTAATTTGAATATTTCTTAATTGCCCTTTATACATACTATTTAAAAACAGGAAGGGAAATGCTTTCCTAGATGTAAAATTTTATTGTTTTATGAAACTATACATGCTAAATTTCTAATATAGAATATGACTAAGTGATTTCTGTCTCACTTTGGACTTTTATAACAGTTTTTCTATATATGACTATAACAATCTATAATAATAAACACTTGTTTTTAAATTACATTTATAAATACTACTTATTTTTGAGGGACACAATGGAAATTTACTTCTTAAAAAGTAAATAATTCTACCAGTTTATTATAACAATTTTATTTTTATTTTTTACATTTTTCATTTGTAATGAGTTTTAGTAGTTATTTTTGATCCTATTTATATGTTCAGTTGTGATATATTTATTTCTATCTTACATTTTCAAAAACATTGCTAGTACATCTAAGAAAATTATTTGAAACAAACATGCATTGAAAAAACATGCAATTGAATTCATGAACACGGTAACTTTAATGCAATTTCGGTGGTCCTTCATATAAGAAAATTACTAATAAAAGTTACATTTTTCTATTTTAAATGTGGCTATTACCTAAGTGTTTTTTTTTTTTTTGTCTGAAAATATGAAAATAATTGGTGCCATCTAGTGGCAATAAATGATGCCTCTTCTTGAAGGAGTTCCTAGAACTTTGATGGCCAGATTTCACATGTGTAATGCAATGTATGAATGGTTGAAGAAGCTTAGACTCAAATGCACCCATCATAACAAGAAGGCTTAAGTTATTTACTGACTTAAGCATCATCCCCACCTCATATTTTATCACAGCAGTAGAATTAGTTGCTTGAATTCAACCACATTTTCCAGTCATACTGGTGCTGAGAACACAGTGGGATCTCAATAATCATTTATTGACTAGCATTTCAAACGGGACAATAATAATTAGTGAAATAGCAAAATATGGTCAGCAGGAGATAGATGAAAAAATCCTGTATAACTAGCCTCTCAGTATGAGATTTGTGTATCTTTTCACCCAAAAAACTGACTGTGCCTTCCCATTTTCAAGTGTACCAACCCTCAATCTCTTGAACACACCACATGGCCTCCTGTTTGTTTTATAGCACTAATATCTATCTGAGTTTGTTTTGCTTCTTTTTTGTCTGCTTTACCATCTATAAATATGTATTTTCCATGAGGAGAGACAATTTCTGCTGCATTCCACTCTGTATCATAAGAGTTTAGAACTGTGTCTGCCACAAGTGAAACACTCAATAACTTCTCATTGAATGACTGAATAGTAAATTAATTAACAGAAGCATTTTGAGTAAATTTGCTGTCCACTTGGCTAAAAGTGGGACTATTTTGATGATACAGTCCTTACTGTATCAATTTGATGTTTTATCGAATACTCATTTTGTACAAGAAACTTAATTTCTCTTACTCTCACCTTAATAATCTACATAAGAAATATGTCATTCAGTCTGTCTCCCTTAGGTGAAAATGGCTACATTGTTCTATTTTAAGCAATTAAGGATTCTGCTAAATAGCTCAATACTGATTCTCAAATATTCTTGAATCTATAGTAAAGTGTCTCTTATTGGTACCTGGATTGCTCTTTACTGTGCTTTCATCTTATGTGACCAAAATATAGAGTTTAGACAGTGACATTTTATCATTAATTAATGACACTAATATCAGTTATTGGTATTAAGGAATAAAAAGACAATATCATTCCTAACTAAAAAAAAAAAACAAAACTAGTTTTAATCCTCTTTAGAAATTAGATGAGATAATAACTTGTAAATATGTACATAGTGTGTAATAGTCCCAAGAAGAGAGAAGTCTTTTCAGTATCATTATAAATGTAGTGTTACTAATCTGGGGAGTCCCCTTAGGGCAGAAGGTTTAATCAACAATTATTGATCTCCTAAAGGAATTGTCTATTAAAAAACTTTTTATAAGTCACAGTGGAGTGGAGAGCATGAGAAAACAAACCACAGAATTAGAAGCAAGAATAGTAAAATAGTTTGAGGAAAAAATATATACAAATTACAGATAACATTCAAGTGGCAATGTGGGATTTTAATTTCAGTGTCTTTTCAGTAGGCAATTCTATACCAAATATTTTTAAGTGGCAGATTTTTATAGTGTGAAGTTTTTACCAACTGCCTATAATTTTCATTATGCCACCCATGAGTCCTGGAGATACATTGCCTGTGGATACCTCTAAATCACCCAAGGAAGCCCTAACCACAATGCATATCACCCACACAGATATCCTCCATGTCAAGCTTCATGTTTGGAAATATCTGTAGTGAATGTGAAGCTTTGCAGGTAGCTCATATGTATATGTAGAGAGCAGCCCAATTACAGAATAGGGAGGGCATACAAAAACTCGTACACTTAGCACCACCCTAAGGAGGGCAAACAGGAGGGTGTCATTAATCAGTCTGACTTCGTAGGATCTAGAGAAACTATATAATCTTAGTAAGTCCACTTCAAAAGGAACAAAAAGTGTGGGGCAAGTAGATTCATAAAAGACCTGAGAAAACCTCAGAACCTCTAACAGGATTGATAGATAAGTGTATTTCTGTCCCAAAACCAGTCAATAGAGACGAGAAGATGGAGACAAATGCAGAGAACCTTCGTCAAATATGGATATAAAATATTCTTTAAGGAATTAGAGAATTAAAATAACATGTTACCACTAAAGGAAAACAATCTTTCTGTAATCAGTGCCAAAGAAATGAAAATGTGAAATTTACCCGATACAGAATTCGATGTAATTATTTTAGGAAACAATGAGTACAAAACAGAGCAATACGAATTCAATGAAAAACAGAGCAATACAATTCAATGAAAAACATGAACAAGGACAAAATTTAATAGGGTGAATTTAGTAAAAAAAACTGGCAATAGAGAACCCCAAGTGGCAAATTGATTATACAGAAGAGTCTGTGAAGTAGAAGAGTATATGAAATTATCCTGTTGGGGAAAAAATGTAAAGAAAAAAGAATGAAAATGAATAAATAAACTCTATGGGAACCATAAGGAGGAGCAATCTGAACATTCCTGGGATCCAAAAAGAAGGGAGCAAGATGCTGCCACAATGAAGACACAGTACTTGCGGCCTCCAAATACAACTAGATCACAATAAGATTAGGCCTCCAACCTCTGAGGGAAAATGGATCATCACACCACACACTAACAGCCACACTCCAGTGGGACAGGTAAGGAGAACTTTAAGTGAAAGGTTTATAGCAATATAAATGTGCCGTCAACCCACAAGCATGAGAGGCTGTTGCTTGCAGAATCCCCCTCAGTTGTTCACTCAGGGACAAATGCCATTACCTGGACTGAGAGCACCAGACAATGGCGTGTGGAGTTGGTCCTCAGGACAGAGGAGCTGCAATGCTGGAGAGCTGCAGAGTGGTGGTGTAGAGGAAGGATCTCTCAGTGGGCCTGCAGATCTTGATATAAAGCAGCTGGAGCCTCAGTTGGTGTGGGGGGGGGGGGCTGGGAGGTAGGCAGGGAACAAGTAAGATCATCTATGCTTCAGTCTATGCAGTCAAAGTAATTTAGTTCAATATTGGTATTTCTTCTGTTTGTCTTTGAAGATTATTTGTTACATTTGCTTTCTTTCATTTTATTAATTGACAATATCATTCCTGGCTTCTGTTTTCTATTTCATTAAAATTTCTTTTCTTCATATTCAGAGGGACTTCCAATTTTTCCCTTCATATTGGTGTGAAAATGCTCTGAGTCTCCTGGAATTTGGGGGTTGTTTCTTTAAACAATTAAATGCTGGTCAGACTCATATACCATTGTGAAGATTACACCTGAGCCACCTTGAATGAAATGCTGGAGTTAGACTTACTGCTGAGAGGAATGCATTCCAAGAAATAAAGTCTCTTAAAGTGTTACTATATCAGCATGCTTACGGGACAGGCAGGTAGGCAGTTGGCTTGAGGAAAAGGGAGCAATTAGGATAAAAGCAGATAAAACCAGAGAGATAATGTCAGCTACAATATTACAAGGATTTTCATTTCCACTCTGCATGAAATAAGGAGATATTTTAGGATTTGGAACTTAGGAGTGGTAAGTCCTGGTTTAGGTTTGAAAAGAATCACCGAAGCAGCAAGGTTGAGGATATTCTGAGGAGAATCAGGTTAGAAGTAGGAAGACCATGTAAGAAGCTCACACAGACATACCTTGCTTTATTGTGCTACACTTCATTGCACTTCTCAGATATTTTATATCTTAAAAATTGAAGATTTTGATAATCCTGGTAGAACAAGTATATGGCACCTTTTCCCGATACCATACTGAGAAAACAGGGACTTCATGTTTGTGTCACATTATGGTTAATCTCATAATGTTTCAAATATTTTCATTGTTTTTATATCTGTTGTGGTAATCTTTGTTGTCACTCTTATAATTATTATGAATGTGAACACATTCATAAAAGAACACTATTTCAATCCCCAAATGTTTGTGTTATTGACTAATCTAGCAACCTTTTTCCTGTCTGTCTCCCTGTCCTTAAACCTCTCTGTCCCTTCAGAAAATAATATTGAAATTAGGTTCTTTACTGACCCTACCATGATCACTAAGTACTATTAGTGA